ATGGAGAGAGTTTTTGAGTTGGATAACTTTGGATCTGCTAGAGGATTGAAATCTTGTTTCAAGAACAGTCCAAATGGCAGCTGTTGATTCAAGATCGATGACATAAGGTAAAATAGAAATGGAAATTGGGGAACAGAGAGATGCGGCAAGAATGTGGTCGGAAAATTTCCATTTCTCGAATAGCGGATTTGAGAGAGTTGTTCCGTTATTTTGAGAAATGTTGCGTTCGGGAGGAGCGATTGAAGGATCAAGAAAGGTATGAAAACCTTGAGCCCGAAAAAGCTTCAGAATCTGCGATCTCCAGACGGCATAGTTGTCCGCTGCGAGTTGGATCGGAGCTATGTTCTTGATGTTGGACACCAAGAACTTGAGAGATGTGGAGATCTGAATCTCATCTTGCTGCTCCGAGATAGTCTGCGTACTATTTTGGGAATTTTCAGAGTTGGCCATGATCGTCCTGCTCTGATACCATGAAGAACCGTATCAGGCGGAGAAGACGCAAGCAGGAAGAAGATAAGAGAAAGGAATTATTTTTATTATTTTGTCTACAGTTTACAAGAGGGCTCTATATATAGAAGAGCTGGACAAGTAATTTCATACAGACCAATGAAAGAATGACAGCTCATTTAATACAGAATTTATACAGATAATATTCCTCTTATAATTATTAGTAAAGGCTCAAAATAAAATTTATGGCCGCCTAATATTTTGTTCACTTATGTAGTTCAATGGATAAAAAAATATTCTAATGATGTGGCGAAATTGAACATAAAAGAATCAAAATTGAGGAAACTTAAAAAATATCAATTCTTCATGTTTGATATATGTATTTCTCACTAATTCTTGATATGACTTGTTTTTTTTTTTTTTCAACTTTTTAAGAATAAGGAGCAATACATTTTACTCTAAAGTAGAAATATTATTTTTGTGTATTTTATTTTGTCTGTTTTTACTTAGAAGTATTTTGACATATTCATCACATCATTAAAATTACTCACTTATTATTATTATTATTATTATTATTATTATTATTATTATTATACAACTTATGTAAATGAGTTTCTTTAATAGATTTGAGTCTAATATAGATCATCTATTTTTTTTATATACATTATTATTAAATGATTTAAAATTATTTTATAATTAGTTGCTTATTATGCATCTTATTTGCATTCAACAATTCAAACACATTTGAATACTATTTTACTGACTCTTATATCTTTATAATAATATAAGTAGAATTCTTGTTTGTTTTTATTTAATTATCATTATGAACAATGAAATTCTATTACATATATCTTTGAGGCAACTCGATATGTTATGATGCTTCCATCAATTGTTTGCTGATATGTTGTATATTAATGCTTTATTTCATTCAATCGTTGTATTCAAAATATTTATTGAATATTATAAAATAACATCTTATTTTTTATACAGATTATTAATTCTACAGATTCATGGAATTTTCAATTGTGATCTCTCGTTAAAAATACATATGTTATTATTCAATTTGATTTTAGTTTGTTTGGTTTTAATCAAATCAGTATATTTTTAATTACATCTCAACAATCTTTGTTTGAAGTTTAGTGTTTTTTTTTTGTTAAAACCCTCTATAGGGGCCTACGTATTAATCTCACAAAAAATCGTTACAGAGTCCTTAAAAGGTTCCTCCAGTTCTCTAATGCTCGAAAGAGCTACAATTAAAAAGAAAAACAAAAAATCTATGAGCCGGTGGATCCTTTTTCTACGAGTACAAAAAGAAACAGAGCAGAAGCTCGGGCTGTGAGAAAACATCACCCAAAAAAGGAAGAGCAGAATAGTCATTTTCAGCTCAATCTTCCTGCAAAAAAACTGAAGATAACAGAAATAGCAATTCGAATTTGAACGAGAAAATACCTTGCGATCATTGAAGCTCGTATAATAACACGAAGATTATTTTGATGCATGCAAGGAATTC